ATCCCAGGACTCGGGGAGCGAAGGATTTGCATAAGACATCAAATGAGATGAAGCCTGGGCTGCCATCGGGGGAGACAGCAGCTGCGTGCACCCGTGTCGCACCAGTGCCATGTGTTCTGCCCTCTGGCACTGCTCACTTGAGACTTTCACGCCCACGGGCAGAAAGACTCTTAAAAGAGGAATGTGCAAAATACAATTCCCCCCACAGCACGGCAACGGCGGCAGCAGCAGCGGTGACGGGTTCCCCCTCCTTCTGCTGAGCTCTCAGCCCAAAGCGTCCCTGCAGACAGGTCTCTGGAGCCAGGCAAGAGCATCCCTGCACAGGAGAGCTGGGGAAGAGCATCCTGCAGCCCCTTCCCTGGTGAGGATGGCTCCTACCCCACTGATGGGCCCTGTTGGCAGAGCAAGCCGAGTACCATGCAGGAGCTTGGAGGCAGCACAAGGTGAGGATCACTCCCTCCCAACCCTCCCTTGCCTTCACACTGGTGACAGTGTCACGGGTGGGCAGTGATGCATGGCAGTAGCTCACAGGGTAAATAAGGTGGTGGGTGGCAGAGACCCAGGAGGAGATTTGAGGTGCCAGCCCCCTTCCCAGCACCCTGCTGCTCCTCAGGTGTCAAAACTGTCACCGAACCCCCACCAAAGTCACCTCTGCTTGGGGAAAAAAACCCAAAAAGTGCAAGGGGCTCCTTGCAACATCTGCGGGGCTGGTAAGGACCCTCCCGGCTGCTGACAGAGAGGGGGACACTGACATCTGCCGGCAGGTCCCACCCGGTCCCGCAGCACCCACGCTCACCCTGCCCGGCCCCGGGACCACCGTGGGGGCAGCCCCGGTAGCCACCAGCCCTGCCTCGGAGGGCAGTAGTCATGCGGGTCCCCCCCTAAGAAGGGGCAGGACAGGGTGGACACCCCCGTGCAGGGAGCTGATGCTCTCCAGCTCGGGGCTTTAAAGATGCGGAGTTTTGTTTCTTACTGAAGAAAAACAAAAAAAAATTAATAAAAATTAGTGTTTAAGCGAAGGGAATTGAGCCTCGCAGCCGGGGATGCTCCTCCTCTCCCAGAGCTGCCGGTACCGGAGGTTACCCCGCCGGGAACCGCAGGCAGCGTCCGAGGCGAGGAAGCATCTCCCCGCGGGTCAGCCCGGCCCGGTGCTCCGGTGGGAGAGCCGGTGGCAGCGGGAGCCTGCGTGGGGGGGCTGAGAGACCTCTCCTGTTGATTTATCCGTGCCCGACTGTAAAGTGTGCGTTTGGGCATTTCAGGGGGCATCTCCCCCGGTTCCCGCGGCCCAGGGGCATCTCCCACCAGCATCTCTCCAGGAGCTGGGCACCCAGGGTTTCCTGCCTCCCGGGCATCTCGTTTACCCCGGCAGCCTGCCAGCACCCGGTTCCACCGGGCCGGTCGCAGCCCCCCAACCCGGACCCGCTGGGGCCCGCACTTTGGGTACCGGGGTGGGCTCCCTCCCACCCATGAAGGGCCGGTTGCTTTCCTCTGCCCGCGTCCTCACCGGGGCGGCCGCGAAGGGAGCACGGAGGCAACTTGGCCAAGGTCACCGAACGAGCCGCCTCTCCATCGGCGCGCACGGCGGTACCCGGGATCTCCGCCGTACCGGGGCCGCCGCTTCCTCCACCCCCACCTCCCCCCCAACGGCGGCACTCCTTCCTCTTCCCACCCTCCCACCGGCGGGGGGCTTCCCGCCGCCTCACTCCGCGTCTCTCCGACCCCGCAAGACTTACCCCAATCTCCCGCTCAGCGCCGGCGGGGCACCGGCCGCCTCTCCGTCGCGTCCCGCACCGTTCCGCTCCTCCTCAGCCGCCCCGGGCCTTTCCCCGCCGCCGTCTCCCGGCCCCCCCAGCGACGCGACGCCACCCCATCGCCGGGCGGGCCGGCGGCCCCGCCACCATCCCGCCTCCGGGCTCCGGCTCCCGCCGCCACCGCTCCCGGCCCCGCACCGGCTCCCGC